CGGGGGCGGCCCGCCATCCTCCGCAGTGCCGTTGTTCGATGCCGCGCCTTCGGCCAGCGGCGGAGGATCGACCCGGTATATGTTGACCTGCCCGCCGCCGACCGTGGCGAAGACGGACGCCTGCGTCGTGTCGACGTGGTTGAAGCTGCACGCGTAGATTGGCTCGCCGTGCGGCTCCGGGATGCGGAGGATGGCGGTTTGGTGCAGCAATGCTCCCGGCGATTGTTGAGGCTCGTCATCGACGTCGCCGGTCGATGGAGCTTCCACCGCTGCAGCCGGCGACGCCGAAGACATCGCCGCGGACTGGGCTGCCGGTGGCTGTTCCAGGGCCTCGGTGCACTGTCGTGCACAGTGGCAAACGGCACAGAGTGGCAGCTTGGCGCCTTCTTGTGAAAAAAGAATTTAAAATCCCGAAAAAAGAAATCTCTACCAAGAAAGGGGCAGCACGTTTACGAAAAGGCGCCTGGAGCGACCGCGGTCCGGTCGCGCCACCGCGGCTGCGGGGCTGATAGAGCAGGCCGGCTGCGGCTCCTGATGTACCTCCGCTTTTGGGTGGCGGTCGCGCGCTGCCGACGGCGCTCGCCGGCGCTACGGCGCTCGCGGCGCGCTCGTGGCGTTCAGGGCGGCTCGCACACGCACACGCACACACACACACACACACACACACACACACACACACACACACACACACACACACACACACACACATGCACAGACACACAGCCCCTTCCCCTCCCCCCTCAAGGGCGAGGACACGCACAGGCCGCACCTCACAAACCTACAATACCACTAGGTACGGGACTGGCGCGCACTGGCGCGCAGGAAAAACGTACACCAAAAATTAATGGTGTACTAGTACCCCGAGAAACCTGAGGGAGAGGGTGTGTAGAGGATGTAGAGTGTAGAGAGCGCTGTAGAGCTGCAGAGATGTAGAGCGCTCTGGAGCGCTGTAGAGCGCTGTAGAGCTGTAGAGCTGTAGAGCTCTACATCCGGCGCGGGACGATCTGAGTCCGATGTAGAGCGATGTAGAGCGCGATTTTGCTGTAGAGTTTGTTGTAGACGGGCTCTACAGCCAAAAGGCCAAGAAAGGCAGTGACTCAAAGAGGTCGAGCCGCGCTAATGGGATGTCTCCGAGCTTACTGGAGCTCTGGTGGACGGCCCTGACTATCCCTGACACACAGAGAGTCACTCTGACGGTACACAACACCCTACAACTGCGTCATGACCAGCCTGCCATGTGTCGCCGGTGCCGCATTCATCGCAGTGCTTCTTTAGCAGGCGGTGGACTGTCGGCTGCGAGGACGCATTTGCGCGAGGCGAGGCGATCATTGTTGAGCGTTGCATGCGCCATGACTCGCGCCAGCGCGCGTGCGGGAGCTCCTGGCTGAGCGTTGAGTCCAAGCGAGTTGCGCTGGCCACGATCGCTACGCCGAGCCGAGCTGACGCGCCGAGGCGCCGGCCAGTCGCAGCCGTGAGGCATGTCACAGCAGCAGAGGCACCTGCCACCCATTGGGCGGGCAGACAGAAGGCTAGGGCAGCACTGGCAAGTGCAACGCGCCTCATGTCGGAGAGCGACCGTGCCTTGTTCGCCGCTTATGGATTAGAGACAGATTAGAGATAGAGTTGGTTCGTAGATATTTCACGTTGTAGAGCGCCTCTACATCGCTCTACATCGGACTCACATCGTCCCGCGCCGGATGTAGAGCTCTACAGCTCTACAGCGCTCCAGAGCGCTCTACAGCTCTACAGCTCTACAGCGCTCCAGAGCGCTCTACAGCTCTACAGCTCTACAGCGCTCTACACTCTACATCCTCTACGCACCCTCCCTCAGGGCTCAGCGAGAAACCCTTCGGTTTGTTGTGTGATTTCGGGTCGCTCCTGAAGAAAAGAAAAAATCTCTGTCTCCTGAT